AAAAAAATCAAAATTTAATGTGAACACATTTTTTTCATATTTATTGCATCGGTTCAAAAAAATGTGAACATATTTTTATTAAAATTTTTCATATTTATTGCATCGGTTTTCTGAAAACCGATGTGAACACATTTTTTCACATCGGTTCAAAATCGATGTAAAAAGAGCAGACTTTTAACATTGCCCGTTTCAACATCGGTTTCAAAAAGGGGTTTTAACCGATGTTAAAAGTGTTTTTTCCACTAGTGTAATTTGTTGACTGTCAAACGGGGGCAAAACGAGTGCTGTCACACACAGCCACTAGTGTAATTTGTTGACTGTCAAACGGGGGCAAAACAAGTGCTGTCACACACAGGTGAAACGCACCATAAGAAGATTAGCAAAACGAGTGCTGTCACACACAGGTGAAATGCACCATAAGAAATTAACTCACACACAGGTAAGATTAGCAAAACGAGTGCTGTCACCTACACAGGTGAAATGCACCATAAGAAGATTAACTCACACACAGGTGAAACGCACCATAAGAAGATTAGCACCTACACAGGTGAAATGCACCATAAGAAGATTAACTCACACACAGGTGAAACGCACCATAAGAAGATTAGCGCAAATGAAACTCAAGTGAGGTTTTGTTCCAAAACCAATTGGTGATGGAAAGAATAGCCCACTAGGCTTATAAACTAAGCTCATTTATCCTATGAAATCAATGTGGGACAACTCACAAATGATATTCCAACATTGACCATTTTAGGATCACACCATGGTCAAATACACAATCTTTTTTTTTATCTCCTCTCGTGTCTGGCACCTTGACAAACTTTTTTTAATGATATTATATTGTTTTCACTTTCTTAAAAGTCTATTATTCACTAAAAGATAGATAGATTTGCATATATCACAGGTAAAAGGATCATGTGACTGTTTTACTATAGTTTCATTGAATGAATGAGACAGATTTGGAGGTTTGCATGATAGCTAATAAAATTAATTATATTTTAAAAGATGAAATATACAAATGTATAGATGAATATGATAGCATATATAAATGTGCATTTTAAACCGTCCACGCAAAAAGAGAAGAAGANGTACTCCATATCGAAACTTGACTTTGGATTAATTGTCTATAATTTCAACTCTTTGTTTTTATACGGTACGGACACGTCTCAAACCCACCATCTTTATTCTTATGATCTTATCCATCCATCTGAAGGAATTTTAATCAAATAATACACTCCGGCGAGTAAAGTCCGTTTCAGTTATCGCCTCAAACGCCGTGATTCTTACAAACACCGTTCCACGTGCCACGGCGACCAAAGCTCACCTAATAAAAAAGTGAAATAAAAAAAATGAAATTATTAAATATTAATGTCGTTCTTGCCTGTGACGTAACCTCTGGCGTCATCCGGCTTATCTCAGCTCCCATGTTCGTATTCGCTGCTGCACGGACCTGGCGAGCCGATAAGTGTTGATGATGTCACTGCCTCTCTCCGCGTTGACGTACTGGCTGACGTGGGATGAATTGACGAGGCATCAATCACAAGCGACAGACGACACGTCATGCCAGTTTTCGTTCGTAGTGGTTTCATGTTGACCCATGACCATGAGGATTTACGAAGATTTAACTGGCACAGGCGTTAATTAATTATTATTTATTTATGTTTTCCTAATATTTAAATTATATATTTTTCATTTTTCAATTTTAATTTTCCTCCCCTTGTATGTGTATTTAAACACGAGCCCAGGCTGTAATTTATCGTGCACAAGCTCAAGTCAAAAGAGAATCAGTGTCTTGAGTGGAAGAAATTAAAGTACATATCTCCAGGTGCTCCTTTTTTTTTTCCATATTTACTTCAGTTTATTTGATTATTTTTTGCTTATTTTGTCCTAATTAAGTTCATACATATCACACATTCACACCTTTTGCTATGTGAGAGTTATTGATTACATATTTATATTCATATTAGATGTTTTATTTGCNCTACACCTTGAGCTTAATTGTATATATATTTTCTTAAAAAAAAAATATTTTCATCATTATTAGGTGTGAAGATCTTGTTCTGCAGATTTTGAATGTCAGTTTAGTTTGCAGACTTAATCTGAGATCATTTATTTTTCTTTAATATATATATGCATGTACATTGGTCAATCCTTGTGTGCAGATAGATCTTGTTCTTGTGAAGACTTTTGGATTATTGGATATGGACTCGATGCTCATTAGTGGAATCCAATTCGCGGCCCTCCCCAGCAGCTACATTCGCCCGGAATCTGATCGGCCCAAACTTTCCGAGGTCGCCGAATGCCACAGTGTGCCCGTTATCGACTTGGGTTGCCAAGACAAAAGCCTCGTCGTTAGAAAAATAGGCGATGCTTGTCGTGACTTCGGTTTTTTTCAGGTTTATTTTCTTTTTTCTTTTTTTTTTCTTTTTTGTTCTTAACTCTTAACTAATAAAACTCTATCATATTCCAATTTTGTTTCTTTTCCTATAAGGTGATCAATCATGGTGTGCCGAAAGAATTAGTCGATCAAATGCAAAGTGTCGCGCGCGAATTCTTTAGTTTGCCGGTGGAGGAGAAGCTGAAGCTGTACTCAGACGACCCGTCTAAAACCATGAGGCTCTCGACTAGTTTTAACGTGAAAAAGGAGACCGTTCATAACTGGAGAGATTATCTCAGACTTTATTGTCATCCATTGGAGAAATACGTCCCCGAGTGGCCTTCCAATCCTTCGTCTTTCAAGTAAGCCGAACCTCATTATGATTATAAGAACGAGTCGAGACACTAAATTTAAGGCTATGTTTGGTAAACTTAGCTAATATGCTAGCTTTATATCTTTTTGAGTTTATAGCTGATAGTTTATGGCTTATGATAAAAGTATTTAGTAAAATTAGCTGATAAGCTAGCTGAAATACACGACGTTTATGAGATAACCTCGAACTTTTTTAAAAGAACTCGTCCTATCAAACGAAGCTTATTCGAATACAAAAATTTTATAAGCTAATCAAACAAGTTATAAGCTAGCTTACCAAACAGGCAAACACAACCTTAAATTTTTATTCTTGGCGGTAACTTTTAGGGATGTCGTAAGTAGCTACTGCACGGAGGTTCGAAAGCTCGGGTTCCGGGTGCAAGAAGCCATATCCGAGAGCTTAGGATTGGAGAAAGACAGTTTAAAGAGTGTATTTGGAGAACAAGGCCAACATATGGCTATCAACTATTATCCTGCGTGCCCGCAGCCCGATCTCACGTACGGGCTACCGGCCCACACGGACCCGAATGTACTCACCATTCTCCTTCAAGATTTGGAAGTCACCGGGCTTCAAGTTCTCAAGGATGGGAAATGGGTGTCGATAAAGCCTCGTCCGGGGGCTTTCGTTGTTAACATCGGTGACCAAATCCAGGTAAGAACTGAATATCATAGGAAAATAACGGGTCAATTACAAGAACCCGGTTCTTATTGCATCATAATCTATGAATACTTGACTTGTGTTATAATCTAGGAAAACTACTTTTGCTAGGCATTTAGTAATGGAAAGTATAAGAGTGTTTGGCATCGAGCTGTAGTGAATGCCGATAAGCCAAGGCTTTCGATAGCTTCCTTCCTTTGCCCTTGTGATAGCGCTTATATTAGTTCACCAAAGGGTCTCACTTGTGGAGAAAATCGAGCCCTTTATCGAGGTTTCACATATGCCGAGTATTACAAGAAGTTTTGGAGCCGGAATTTGGACCAAGATCACTGTTTGGAGCTGTTCAAGAACTAGCAAGTGTGCTCTTTTCACTTCTCTGTGGGGGTTAGTAAAGGTTTGATGGTGAGTTTTACACATTTTTTCGGTGAACTACGAACAAGATTCGGTGTGCCATTTCGTATTTCATATTGTATCCCTATTAAGTTTGGACAAATAGTTTTTTTCTTTTAGCAAAAGTATGCAAGATGTAATGTGATGATATTAATGTGTTGTAAATTATGAAAGTTTTTCCTTACCTCTTTGAAGAAGTGAAATAATGTTATTGGTCATTACTTTGAAGTTTGAATGTTAAGCTATATGTCTTTGGGAAGGACCAAAGAATCTTAAAGAGTACCTTTATTGAAAATCATTATCAATTGATTACATTAGAAATTGGGTGAAGAGAAGTATCACCAAATCATGCCCTATAAAATCTGCCAAAAGAATGAAGGTACTTGATAAAAGAAGACTAAAAAGGTCTTGTACAATCAAGAATTCATATTGTAGTAGCAAAATCTGTAATAAAATCATGCAAAGGACTTGTCTGCCATTAATTGAGTGGGTTGTGTAGACTTGTGTATTGTGTCACAGTTGTGCTACAAGCCTACACTAGTGCATGATTACCTGATTAAACTTTATATCACATAATTTTCTGGATAATTGCAAATGACGCCCCCTGAAGTTTCAAAATTACAAAATCACCTATGTCCGCATTAAAGAGTAATAAGATCAGTAGGTCACCACAAATATGAGGGAGGCTTGAAGATGCTTGTTCTTATAAATGGAAAAATTACAGTACATAATCACATCACTCTTGTGTAAATTATCTCACTCAATCCGAATATGGGAAAAAAAAATCCCGTTTAACAGTGTAAAATTAGAAACAAACTTAAAAGGCAACATTGAATTAATCCACATTGGCCTTTCTCGATCTTTCGGCATTTTGCATTGGGTTTCAATTATTCGGAGTTGGCGAATAAGTGCCTCTGGGCCCTTGTATGCCATTGGAGCTATGATTTTCTGATTTGGGTACGGGCTGGCCCATCGGGCCTGATCCACTGATCATGAGCTGATTCTTGAGCTTGAACTCATCTGAATTGCTGCTTAGTAGAAAACTTGCCACAACAACCTAATGTGATGCGAAAGAGAGAATTATGAGATGTCCGAAACAGTTAAATGAAGCTTCTCTTCACATTACAAATCACTCGAATTTCATCATGCATATCAGCATACGTATCAACATTTCTAAAAGTAGCTAGGCGGGAAAGTAAGGGCCCCGCGTGCAATTTTCAAAATTTTACGGGCATCTTGTAAAATGTTTGACTGCCCCAAAAATACCTTTATACTGGTTTGTATTAAAATCAATCAAGTGGATCGTTTTATTAATCAGGTCAGTCAAATGGTTGTTCTGTTAACTGGATTTATTGTGCTGCCTTCTGATTTGATGAGGTAACTTTTGCAATTTAACCAGTAAAAATTAGTTTCAAACTCGAAAAAAACGAACTAAATGTGTACCTTTATAGGGGTGGCTGCTATGGTGACTCCAGAAACTAAGCCTCCCACAACACGGCCATCCGCACCTGACAAAGTAATTGTCAAATTGCCCGATCTCCCATTTTTCGAGTCGGGCATCTCTGTTGGCGTGAAGGACCCGGAAAGTGAAAGAATTTCAAAAATTCCCTGGAAATAAATTTTATTGAAAGAAGCTCCTTCAGAAAAAAAATAAATAAATAAATAAAAAATAAAAAAAATATTGCATTCTCCAGACAAAGATATCAAAATGTAAGTAAAAAACATTAATGGCGGACCTCGTAAGTCAAAATGCCACCCGATGAATTGGGATGCTGAATAGTGACATTTGAGACAGTCCCACTGCCGGATACAATGCAAACGGCTCGTGGACCTTGCCTAGCGAACTCATTTATCTTGGTTGTGATATCCTAGCAAAATCCAGATAGAATAGTTTAAGATTGATTGTGAAAGAGGGAATATTTAGCAAAAATAGGTTCATCTTAGTTTTAGTAAAATTCACTTCTCCAGTGTTGACAATGATCACGTGCGGTAGTAAACTTGAACCGGTTGAACATTCAACCCAATCATCTGCAGAACAATAGGAAGAATATTTCCGTTGGTTATTCCAATCATCTGCACATTATTAATTTAACTTTCTTTGTTCTTCCTTACTTCCTAGGAGGAACTAAACACCGAAAGGAATGCAAGAATCTTGTGCAATAGCAATACACTAGACAACGATTTAGCTTCGAAAGCTGGTCATAACAAATTTGATTCTTCATCTTTCATATGATACCCAAAATGCAGTGAACCAAAAAACTGAGTGCATTTCAAAAATTCACGACTGGCCACTCTCGAATCAAGAAAAAGGATGCAACAACAACATAGCCTTTAGTCCCAAGCAAGTCGGGGTAGGAAAAAGGATGCAATTCAAGTACCTAATTTTTCGGTCCCGATTTTGCTCTTGTGCTTTTTCCCACTTACTGGCTGTGAGACAGCTAGTCTACCGTGTTCCGAATATGTTGGAGATGGTGATGTCTGAAATGACCCGACTAATGATTCGTCGGGTTTGTATTTCCGAGGCCTTCCTCTCTTCTTCCTATCCGAATTTGCACTCATTGTTGGTGAACTGAATTGTGACAAACTAGTTTCCAATTGGTCAACTCTTGAAGCCACATGGTAAGCCGATGGGGCTCCTTGCAGTTTAACGGTCACGCCAGAGGCCATAGATTTTGCCGGGTCCATAGCTTGAAACAAAAAATCTCAATTATACCGTTAGGAAAATTAAAAAGATGAAATTTTTACTACTTTTTATGAATTTTGATTGGGTATGGGACCAGCACATGATATCATGAGACTGTACAGTAATACAACAAATGTAAAAATTGGATCTTGAAAATCGATCGATAAATGGAACTAATTTTTTGACAGTAAACAGGGCATATATGGCAAAGCTCAACAAAAAATCTGATTAGCTACAGCTTGAAAAATGGGACCAATTCAAGTCTGAAACCCTCCAAAAGAACTCAGTGTTTCTATAATGTTCACACTATAAACCTTAATAAATCATTCCAATTTTTCAGGGCAGAGGGAAAACAATGAAATCTTGCAACTAATCACGAGACAGAAAAAGATCAATCGATGCTAAGAACATCCACTTCACTTACAGCCATAACCCACATCAATCCATGAAAAAACCCAGTAAAGAAAAAGCAAACAGACTCAATAACATAACAGATAAACAAAAGGTGACAAATTTAACAGAATAAATAATTCCGAAAAAATACAGCAAACTATTTAGCAAGAAGATTAAGAAGAAGAAGAACTTATACAAACAGAAGAAAATTGCAGTAAAGCTCCAATCTTTAGGTCAGTCTGTTGACTTTATACATCTGGGGTCAAGAGGAAAATGGTTTTGGATATTGTCCCGAGTTGATTTCTTCTTTTCTCCCACCAAATATGCGGAAAATGCAAACGGGGCAAAATAATTGAGAAAAAAAATAAAAAAATTGCAGGTGGTGGTGAGAAATTCAAGATCTTGTAAGGCATCGGAGTTAGTACAAATTTATTCATTTTTTACAAAAAAGTGGCAGCTTCTTTTGAATCTACAAATAATATATTGAATGTGAGAGTTGGATTGTAGGCAAACCTAAGGCCCAGTAGAACTTTGAATAATATTTTTCTTTTTTAATTTCTGCTATCTGCCTTGTCCTCAGTCCATTAATTTATTTTTTTTAAGCTTGGGAACTAGAGTAGTTAAACCAAATCAGCTCAATTAATGAGCTCTTTGCTTAACGAGCTGAATAAGGCTAAAAAAAAATGTGTGATTTTATAGTTTGATTTGATAAATTAAAGTTCGACTCGTGAATGTTGATAAACAAATTGCTTTCAGTTTCACTTATTAACTCATTTAGATAACGAGTTAAGCTCGATTAAGTTGAATAATAATTCGAGCCGAAGCTCAATGTACATAATAAAAGTTCGAGCTTGGCTCTTTCACACACTTATGTAGCATATAAAGGAAATGTTTTTCAAGTTAGTGATAGAATAATATTTGCAATAAGTTCACGGATTAATAGTTAAATTTGAAGATGTATATTTTAAATGCCATACTAAATAAAAACATAAATAAAAGTATCTCATTTCACAGCATAAATATACACTTTTGTTAAAAAAATTATACACACTTTTGTTAAAAAAAATTATAATGAATCCTCCGTCAAATGGTTAGACTTAGCCCACTTCATACGAATTCATAGGGCATGTACATAATGTCGCATAATATCAATTAACCTCACAACTTATTGCCTCGTTGGAAATAATTAAAGTCTAGTACTTATTCCCTCTTCTATTTTTTTTTTTTTCTTCTTTTTTGCTATAATTTATTTATAATCCTTAAATTGCAACTGGACAACCAATTATAATCGAGAAAAGACAATGTTCATTCAACACTAGCTGCATGCAAACATTACATCTCTAAATTACATAGAAAAACACAAGATTACTACATAACCTAAACAGAACAAGCATTTTTTTGCTGTTCTTTCCATTTCTTAATTAGTCTTTTTTATACTATGATCATTAATTAGTCCGAGTCGGGGCCGGGGCCGGGCCTGAACCGAACTCCTGGAAAGTACCTCGAAACATATTCCCTAGCAAGAGTTTGAAGATCATCGTCATCTTCAAGCACGTTCTCCTGATCGACCGAATTGCAGAAGCTCGACATGTCCTCATCGTTAGGTGCCGTGGAGTTGCGCGCGGAGGATCGGTTGATGCCGGGCAAGGAGAGCTGAGGTGGCGGCAGCTGAGGTGGGGCCCGCTGGAGCGTCGATATTCGGGCCTGCGTGTAGGCCAGTTCGGCCTGGAGAGTTACAACCTGGATTGGAAAGACCCACATGTGAGCATAGGCTCTATTTTGGTGTGCCTATTGTTAAATTTACAACATTTTTTAATATTTTTTTTTTTTGACAATTTTTTGTGCTTGTGTTGTGCGGCCCCATTTTCATCTATTTTACAAGGGGGTTCCTTATCAATGAGACTTAATGCACATGAAATTAGTAACTTGGTCTGTTGGTTTACTCAAAAGTCTAACTAGATGACTAAAGCCCAAAACGGCTAACATGGATCCAGTAAAATTTAGGGAAACAGAGGCCTAAACAAGTTGGGCTTTATTGGAGCATCAGTCCAAATGCACGGTACCAATATCTCCAATTATTGTTGGACACCATATAAAAAAATATTATTATATTAGGGCCCATCTAGAGACTACGGATTACGGAACAGAGACATAAACCTAACCATAAAAATAAATATAAATCAAAAAAATCAGTAAATTATTAATGTTATCATGCCCATAAAACAAGGAAACTGTTTGTGTTGTGCTATTGTACGAGACACTTAGGCATGAAATTCAGGGTGTATTTGTAGATATTTTTGCTCAAAACAGAGTTTTTTTTGTTAGCTAAAGTTAATTTTGAAAAATTTGATATATTTAGTTGTTAGTGCAATTTTGAGTTTATATTAAAATAAAATTTAAAATAAAATAATTAAAATTAATTTGACGTAAAAGTATGAGATAAATAATATGAAGCAGTTAGTTAAAATTATGTGAGTGCATGAATAGTGAATTAATAAAGTTGATCTAATATGTAAAAATGATTGGTTGGTATTATTTAATTATATTGATAACATTGAAGATAGTTGAATTGAATTAAGGTTGAATTAAATTTTAAATATAAATGTGTATGAATTGAAATAATTTATAAACAAACATACCTTCAATGTGTAGATTAAAAGGTAAGTTATTAGAAAAAGAGAAAAAAAAAAANAAAAACACACCAAACCGTATACCAAAGTCAATATTGACGGTGTCATGCTGAATATTTATTTGACTACCTAAGAGAAATTTTTAATATTTTTTCTTTTAATAATATAATAATCTTCATAAAAACTAACAATTTTACATTCTCAGTTATTTGTTAATCTTTTAGTATATTAAAAATTGAACGAAATTGAAAATATTGAATACATTTTCGAAACAAACAAGTTATCGGAATTGAAAATATTGAATACATTCAAACTAAAGTCAAAAAATTAGCGATGTTATGAGATTGGTCCGAGCGGTTCTAGCGATCAGAATGGTTGATGCTTAAAAAAACCTTTGAAATTAAGAAAACTCACCTATACCAAATACCAACCGTCTCACCTATACCAAATACCAACCGGTTTTATCATGTTAGTTATACCGGTTTTACCATGTTAGTTATTTTTGTGGCTCAAAATTCCATTCTTTTTTAATTTTTTAAGTTTAGTTTACACACATCCTTTATCTTATTATCCAAACTAATTCTACTTCACATAATATAACATATTCAATTAACTAAGTCTCATTTCATTCATTTACACGTATTATCTTATTATTTACACGTATTATCTTATTATCCAAACTAATTCTACTTCACATAATATAACATATTCAATTAACTAAGTCTCATTTCATTCATTTACACGTATGGTCATGTTATTTATGGCTATCACCTTTTCTGATAGATATTTTAGAGACTTTATGTAACGTTTACTTTAACTTTGTTCTAGAGAATTTCATACCCTTCTCAACTTCCTTTTCCAAAGTTTTGTGAATTTCTACACTCTTTCGGGTTGTTTTGCATCCTTCCAAAACATACCACAAGATGTTAGTTTAAGTTTCAACAATTTCTTCAAGCTTATATTCCATTTTAGATTTATCATTTTTACTGGAGATGGTGAATATTTTGCTAAGTATTTCTATTTTGTAAGAATGCACACGTTAGTACGGTGGTTGGAAATTTCAACTTAGAGTGGTTGTCATTGCAAGAAATTAACGGCCATATTCATAATTGTTACGCGGAATTTAATAAACTCTAATCATGTGACTCTAAAGCTTTGTTAGTTAAATGAAACGAGCTCAACCCAGCTCAAGTCGAGTATCAAGAGCTCGCTTGGCTCGTCTTGACTCATATTCATAACAAAAATTGAAACAGAGAGAGTGGCTAGCACGCGCAGGAACATACGTACCTGCTGTTGAAGAGTGAAAATGTGGCCAACGCAACCATAGACGGGATCCCTAACCCTAGCAAGCGCCTCGTAGCAGAGGGTCACGACGGCGTCCAGGCGGCAATGCGGCGGCACATGGAGGAGCAGCTTGGAGGCGTTGCTGGCGCCGAACACCCTGTGCACCGCCGCGAAGTGGGCCGTGCCCTGGTCCGAGTCGAAGTACGGCGCGAAGACGCAACCCCTCACGCACTTCCGCCTCAGGAACTTGCACGCGCCGCAAGGGCCACCGCCGCCGCCGCTTGCTTTGCCTCCGCGGTCGCCGGTGCTCATTGCGTGTTGTGAATTGTAGTTTTTGGGATTTAAAAAAGTCTTCGTTTTTTTTTTTTTTTTTNCTTAAGAGTATTGGAAAGGGCGGTCAATGAGCTTATAAAGGTGGTACGGACTAGAGAGTCCTTATTTGGTTTGCTATTTAGGATTTGTATTTATTTGTGTACAGTTATTTTATCTTATGACTAAAATCTCTTACGAATCATTTCGTAAAGACAAATTCTGCTATTTATTGAATAAATAAAGGGAGTAATATATAGGACATATAATAAGCCTTGTATTGGCAGTGGGTCATGGCTCATGGTTGGATTAATGGGTGTATCACAAATTATTGTGTGAGCTGGAGATATATTATTCTGGTTAATTAGTCATTTATTTAAGAACAATGTGTATTTATGTTATAATATATATTTTTATTTTTGTTTATTTTGTTTTATAATAGTACATTTTAATTTTAAAATAAACATATACGTCCAAAAATTATTTGACAATTAGGAAAACCTAATAGGAGCCCTACCAATGGTATATATTATTAGTTTACAATATTTTAATTTTTTTAATATATGTACACTTGAGTGTTGAGTGAAATAATATTATTAATTTACAATATTTAGTTATTTACTTAAATTGGCTGGTGCTAAATATTATATTATATATCACGGATTATCTAAAAACACTCACCCTGTTTAATTAAAGCGGGTCAATTCATCTCACTCGAATCAACGCTTAAACTTGAGTTTGAGCCTCTTGAATGCAAGTAAATTACCTAAGTATCCTAATTACACACTTTCATTGAATTTTTGTACCGAAATTTGAGCAAAATTCAAATCAATCAAATTCAAACCAATCTCGAGCAGTTAAAAAAATGGAACCTAACTCAATAAGAATTAAAGTGCAGACATAAGGAGAGAAAGCAAAGGCAAACACAGCAAAGGCAAAACAAAGGAAATTGCATGTTTGCGTGAAGCAAAGAAACACACTATATATGTAGTCAAAATCATCATATGACGATACGTATGTAGTAATAGCAAAACAAAAGCTTTTCTTATTCATCTTTTTCTTGTGTTTAACCGCCGGAGTTCGCCACTAACTCCTTCCCACGTGTGAACTTTCTCTCACACGTGAGTCAAACATCCCATCTTATCACTATATGTGTGTGTATATGGCTAAGGTCACTAGTCAGCAGGTAAAAATCTTTTCTTTCTGTCAATTCCATCAATCACTCACACTCGCACAGAATTCAGTCTCAGTGTTGTCTATACTGAAAACCCTAGCTAGGGCGCTTTTATATATTTTTTATAGTATTATTATATATATTTTTTTAATGTAATTTCTAGTTGGGCGTGATTTTCCAATAAATTCACAAACTAATTATATGGGTTTGTGTCGGCATACTTTCAAGTTATTTCACTTTTATTTTGTAACTTTGTTAAATGAAACAAATTGCAGTTTGACTCTCTATAGCTTGCTTGTATACAAATAAATCAGTTTTTAGCTTATTTTTTTTTGTTAATTATGGTTAATTTTTTAAAAAAAATTAATTTAATAAGTTTTTATCGATATATTAAAATAATATTTAAAATAAAATAATTATGGTTAATTTTTTAAAAAAAATTAATTTAATAAGTTTTTATCGATATTATTTAAAATAAAATAATTAAAGTTAATTTGATGTAAAAATAGGAGAACCATGTTGTCAAGCGGCGATTAGTATATAAAACTTATATGAGAAGATGAATAGTGAATTAAAGTTGATATGATGTATAAAAATAGTTGATTGATAGTATTTAATTGTATTAATAATCTATACTTATATAAAAAGGAATTCTATTTACTATAAATAGTATCCAGAAAAGTCAACTGCAATTAATGCTATCTATACTTATATAAAAGGGGATCCTATTTACTACATTTAGTATCCAAAAAAGTCAACAGCATTAAATGTCATTACTATTTCGATATTAAAATATTTTATAATCATTATAAAATATTTTGAGGAAGACAATTTATGAATTCACTTACCGTAATAATCTCATTTTGATTTATTAGGTATTGATTGGAGACATTATAATCAGATTTTTTATTATTACACATAGATTAATTGTAAAATACTAATTTTATATATATAATCGGTCAGATTTTTTATTATTACACATAGATTATATTTTTGATTCATTATATTGCATTCAGATTTATTAGGTAATGATCTAAACATATAATGATTATACATAATTTTGAGTTACATTTATATAGATCAATCATTCATATTTTTTTATAATCATTATATTTTTAATCCGAAATTTTACGTACTAAAATTTACGAAATAAATTTATAAATCTTACATTTTTCAGAATGAATTCAATACGAAAAAAGTTTAGTCCAAATTTACATGTGTTTTGAAGTGAAACTTTGAAATTCAAATCTCTTCTCATTTTAGTTACAAGAAAATCGGGCTGCATTTAACACTTGGACCAATTTAAAAATTATTCCTTAAATGAGGGAATTTATAGATAATTGTTATCTCTACTCAGTCACATGATTATTTTCAATATAAAAAGAGACAAATTGCAAATTAGTGAAACATATATTACCTAATTCAATATCTTAACATTAAGGAATAAATCCATAGTATTATGTAAATCCGTATCTCATATTATTATATCGTTAAGAATATGTTATAGTTATATTATCAAATCATAAAAAGATATTAAACCCATATTGTAAAAAAAAATAATTCATATAATTTCATAACAATTCTACTACACTATTTAACAGTATTCATTTTTATTATATAATAAAATAATAATTAAATATTATATAGTGAACAACAATAAGTAAAGTTATTACTTTCTCTTATATCAAGGGATAAATTTATATGCTAAAATTAAATTTTTATTAGTATAAATATTTTAGTGAGATAATATATTAATTATTTTACAAGCTAGCCCTAACATGCTCATATTTAATGTCTGGCTAAAAAAACAACGCAAAGATGTGAAAAAAATTTTATTATAATCCTATTATGTTTTAGAGTTAACGTTAATTAAAAGAGGTAGAAAATAGATAATAACCCTATTATTTTTTAGACTTAAACGGACAAGGATGTGAAAATAATTCATTTAATATCTTTGTCTCGTGCATCGCACGGGGTACATACTAGTTACTATTTCCAGCATGTATTTTATTTAATTATTTTATACTGAAATTAATGCTATGCGATTCAATTAATGCTATTACTATTCCCATACAATCGATTTTCCTGCGAAAAAATCCCATAAAAATCGGCTTTAATTTTTTTGTATATTTGAAATTTCCTTCTTATCTTCTATTTGTTTTATCCCATACAATCCGTTTAGTCAACAAAATCCCATAAAATCGTTTTAAACTTTTTGTAGATTGAAATTGAAATTTCCTTCTTATCTTTTTACCAAAAATTTTATTATTTATGTATTGAAATTCTGTAATCCGATTTCAGATTGTATCATTAAAAATATATTAGAGTTATATTATCAAATCATAAAAAGATACTAAATCCATATTGTAAAAAGAAAATTCATATAATTTTATAACAATTCTACTACACTATTTAACAGTATTCCTTTCTATTATATAATAAAATAATAATTAAATATTATATAGTGAACAACAATAAGTAAAACTGTTATTTTCTATTATCTCAAGGGATAAATTTATTTGCTAAAATTAAATTTTTATTAGTATAAATGTTTTAGTGAGATAATATATTATTTATTTTACAAGCTAGTCCTAACATACTCATATTTAATATTCTGGCTAAAAAAACAACGCTGGTTCAAAGATGTGGAAAAAAAACTTATAATAACCTTATTGTTTTTTAGACTTAACGTTTATTAAAAGAGGTAGAAAATAGATAATAACCCTATTATTATTTAGACTTAAACGGCAATGGTGTGAAAATAACTCATTTAACGTACTAGTATTAAGAATACGGGTTAAGTTAAAGTTGAGTTAGATTTTGAGTATTAAATGAATATGAATTGAGTTATTTTATATACAAACACACCCTACATGTTCAAGTTTATTTCAAGCAAAGTAACTTAGGGGATTGAGCTTAGTTTGGCTCAGGACTCAGAAATAGTGATTTTTAAACTTGATTTATTAAGACTTGAATATTCATTTTGTTAATATTGATTAACAAGTTAAAGTTGTGCTCATTTAGTTAACAAGTTAAACTCAAACTCGGTAAACGGTGGAGCGGAAATTACACCTCTAGCTAGTTGCATATTATCACAGCTATTTTCCTAGTTTCCTTACTATCAAATTATGAAAACTAGATCAATGGATTCTCCAAAAGACAGATATAGTTATATTGAGAAGTAATTTTCAGATATTGAAAATCTCAAATGTTGCAAGCGAAGTTGAACTGAAAGTATTCAATTTTCTTGCAAAAACAAAAAGCGGAAAATAAAATAATATGATTTATATTTGAAACTTCCTATTTTTGTATTATAAATATTCTAATACAGCTCACATGAAAAATATTGTACCCCATTTTTTGAAATTTTCTTTTTTTGTTGGGTTAACATAATTGTTCCTTTTCTCCATTGCCCTTCGTAAGTGACATGACAGACAAGTTGCTTTACCGAGGAAATGTGAATGTGATTACACAAATGGCAGTTACAATCTCCCTTTTGTCCACTAATTAAAGATGGGATGGGGTTTTGTGTACATTTTCACGTATAACTAGCATTTGATTTGATTCTGTACACATGCACAGATGCAAATAAAATTTATATGTTATATATATATGTGTATATAATATTTAAATTATAAGTTAGATAATGAACGTATCATATTTTATAAAATTTATCATTATTAAAAATAAAAACTATTAACTTACATATTAATCTTTATATTTATTGCAATTATATAATTTTTTTAATTTTTTTTATTATGAACAATTAATTATATAAAATAATATTGAAATTATTATTATAACAATTGTGTACGAAATTTTAAAAAGTTTGGTTGTATCATAAAAATTATATAACTAATGTTAATAAAAAAAACTTGCTTAATGAGTTAAAAAAAACAAAATAATAAATTAAATAAATAGTTTAAAATAATTAATTATAATATCATTTAATGTGACTTAATGATTTATTAGTAGTAGTTATTATATAATAAAAT